CATGGGGACTCTGCCCTCACAGCTCTCTGGGGCAAGAGCTTCCAAAGGCTCACAACCCTTGGAGAGAAGAAATTCCTCCTCATCTCAGTCTTAAATTGGCACCCCTTTATTCTGGGACTGTGCCGTCTGGACCTAGACTCTCCTGCGAGGGGAAGCATCCTCAGCATTTACCCTGTGCGGCCCCTAAGAATCCTATATGTTTCAATGAGATCACCTCTCATTCTTCTACATACCAGTGAGTAGAGTCCCAAACTGTTTAGCCTTTGCTCATAAAACAAACAACGATGCTAATGATTGCTATACCGAGGCACATTTCTCTTATAATATTGGATACAAGTCCTTTCTATTAAAATTGTGCATGAATGCCAAACTGTGTTTTTGTGCTGTTTCCACAATGATTCTATTTGTTTTAACGTTTCACATATTTTCAGCATGTTCTATACTGGGTGGAAACATAAATAAATCAATAGATTGCTTTCAATATTGTTAGGAAGCTAAAAATATATCTTTCCAAGATTCTTAACGTAGATGGGAACTGTAACGTGCTTCCACAATGCCAATGATCTGTGGAAACGATAGTGATAATGTCATGGAATGAGCAATCCAGACACCCAGTCCTGATGGGAGTTGAGTTTCAACTATTGGTTCCACCACAGCAGCTCTTGGAATTTAAATTCAATTTTTAAAGTTTGGCGTTGAAAGCTAGTCTAAGAGATGGTGATCGTGACAATTGCTATGAAAATCTATCAGGGTTCACTGATGAGGGAGGGAAACCTGCCCTCCTCCTTCCAACACAATACTGGCAGAATGTGATAGTTGGCTAATTGACCAGAACAAAGTGGCAGAAAGAATGGTGCATAGCACCAGATGAGATGATCAGGGAGGGATAACATTACTTGCTCTGACCTACATAAGTTTAGAAATTGGTTGACTCTTAACCGCCTTTTGAGCCATTAATCAAGGGGCAGTTAGAGATGAGAAACAAATAAGCAATGTCCACATTGCATCAAAGGCTAAAACAAATCTTTCAATCTAAGGATATAAAAACCGAAAGAACTGCAGATGCTGTAAATCAAGAACAAAAACAGAAGTTGCTGGAAAAGCTCAGTAGGTCTGGCAGCATCTGTGAAGAAAAGTCAGAGTTAATGTTTTGGGTCTGGTGACCCTCCTCAGAACTGGGGAAGGATCACTGGACCCGAAACGTTAACTCTGATTTTTTCTTCACAGAAGCTGCTCGACCTGCTGAGCTTTTCCAGCAACTTCTGTTTTTCTACCTAACGATACACTGCTGTACCCAAATTAATACCATATCAAAGTGCAGTCTGTCAAGTTATTGATATCTCAACACACTCCATTTTCTGAAGAAGGGTCCTGACCTGAAAAGTGAACTTTCCTGCTCTTCTGATGCTGCCTGGCCTTCTGAGTTCCTCCAGTTCCACACTGTATTGTCTCTGACTCTAGCATTTGCAGTCTTTGTTTTCTCCAATTACAATATTCCTTATTTTCAACATCACAAGATGGAATAAGGTGTTATAGGCAAAGCACAAGAGCTGGACTGGCCACCCTGTGGTCATCAACAACATTTGTAAGGTTTCTTTCCATTAATTTGCAGATGAACAGGAAACCATTTAAGGATCCTTGTCATTGGGCACTGGCAGTCAAAGTGCAGCGTATGATTAACAGTGATCATTGGTTCAGTGGACAGTGAGAATTTCTGCAACACTTACTCAACCGTCAACCTATTGCAAGCTGCGAATTTAGATCTTTATTTTATAACAGGAGAAGAACACATACCAAAATCCGGCTATAAATCTGCTGATCAAACATCACCAAGCCTCAAGAGCTATTCTAACAGGTAGGTCTTGGTTGGGAAGCAGTTAAAAATTGCCAGAGTAACGAGAGAGATCAGGAGAAAATTACTGCAGATCGTGGAATCTGTACTGAAAACAAAATATGCTGGAGATCACAGCAGGTCAGGCAGCATCTGTGGAGAGAAAGCAAGCTAACATTTCGAGTCTAGATGACTCTTCATCAGAGCTGCCGTGAATTGTGGAAGGGGGCAGCATGTATGCTAGTGTGGGGGTGGAGTGCTGGAGGAGAAAGGGTGTTGATAGTTCAGATTAAGTGATCAGAATGTGACAATGGCAGAACAATGGTGTGTCTACCTGCCAGACTGGGAAGAACAGATGGTCCCAGTGGAGATGGGGGAGGGGAGAGATGACATCTTAACAGAGAATGCAACAAGTAAAGCTAAATGGTTCTCACATTCTGGACACTTAATGTCCACTGTCAGCACCCTCACAAATGCTGCTCCCTCCACACTACTTCAGCTCTGATTAAGTCATCTAGACTTGAAACGTTAGCTTGTTCTCTCTCCATGGATGCTGTATGACTTGCTGTGATTTCCAGCATTTCTTGTTTTTAGTAGAGAGATGAGGAATTGGGGCGAGAGGAGCACCAAACGGTAAGACATTTTGTTTACTTTTTGCTTTTTTGTGTGTCCTGCGTTGACAGAAAGATTGCAATATATAGAGTGCTATCCAATAGTTGAAACATACGACTGAGCTCTTGTGTATCACTCTATGCATACTGAGCAAATGCCATGCATAGTAAGTTTGTACTAATCTTTCTTTTCTTTCTTTGTAATTTAGTTACTGCCTGGAAGGTTCAGTAATAATGCAATATAGACACATGAGAAGTCAGAGGGAAATGCAAGTCCTGTACTGTAATGAGATCCTCAACAACAAACCAGGCCAAATGAAGAATGTAGAACGTTCTGCTGCCTGCCAAATGAAAGAAATATAAAGTAGGGCTATTCTCAGAGCCAAAAATGGGAGAGAACTGAAAACCTGATGAGTTAGAAAAACATCTCAGCACGGTGGCTCAGTGGTTAGCACTGCTACCTCACAGCACCAGGGACCCGGGTTTGATTCGACCCTTGGGCGACTCTCTGTGTGGAGTTTGCACATTCTCCCTGTGTCTGTGTGGGTTTCCTCCGGGTGCTCTGGTTTCCTCCCACAGTCCAAAGATCTGCTGGCTAGGTGGATTGGCCATACTAAGTTGCCTGTAGTGTTCAGGGATGTGTAGATGAGGTGGGTGATGGTGGGATGCTTTGAGGGTTGGTGTGGACTTGTTGGGCCACAGGGCCTGTTTCCACACTGTAGGGATTCTATGATCTTCTTCATTCATTGTTCTCCAATTCTATCTTTCATTCTAACAGGAGCATAATGACTCTGAACTTTCATTATCACACTTTTGAAAGCCTCTCACTTATCAGATGTTCCTTTACCCGCAGTCGACTCCAAACAATTTTTGAAAGTTCTTTTCTCATGCTGTTAAAATTTGACTTAATCCTATTAAAAATGTTTAACTTTTATGGAAGGCTTATCCTTTTCCATAACTATTTTAAGACTGACAGAATTATTATCACCAGACCCAAAGTGTTCCTGTACTGCCACTGCCTTATTACCCAAGAGATGTCAAAGTTTTCTCTCTCTCTTTCGGAGGAGCATTGACTTATTGATAAAGAACATGTTCTTGAACACATTAAACAAACTATTCACCATCCAAACCTTTCTCATGATGGCAGTCCCTGTCAATGTTTAGAAAATTAAAATCACCGACCATTACAACCTTATCATTCTTTCATATATCTGAGACCTCTCTACATATTTGTTCCCTCTGACGATTGAGAGACCTACAGTACTGTCTGGGTGGGATGCTCCAGGGGTTGGTGTGGACTTGTTGGGCCGAAGGGCCTGTTTCCACACTGTAGGGATTCTATGATCTATGATCTCTGCACATTAAGTATTTGAACTAAGCAACTTGCATGGACAAATTACATGCTTTGTAAAGGCTGGTGGTACTCCAGCCTGCACTTGGTTTGCTCACCTCAGCAGCCCATTTTATGGTTGCTTGGCCAATAATTGCCTGATTCCATTTCATCAAGGAGAAAGTCTCACCCTCAAGAGTAGCCAGCCAATTAAATGGCTAAATGTTCACATCTCAGCAGTGCCACTGGAAGCTATCTAGCTTCACTACCAGTGAATAACATTTACTGAGTGTTCCCTGAAATTATTGCTTTAATCAGTTTCATTTCCCAAATTTGTATTAATGTGCTTGGAGATGTGCATTTTTATATTGTATGCTCAGGAATCCCATAGTCATATGTGCTGTAACTTGCTTTCCCTTTAGAAGTAGTAACCGTTCAAAGCACGATACGTGAAACATGATGTCAGACATTGTGTAGATTTTCAGAGCTGTTAGGGAACCAGTACAGTAAAGTAGCTATAAGTTTGTTTGAGAAGCCAGAACAAATAGGAGTTACAACTCTATCATCAGTGCTGGGAAAGAGTGATACAAGGTTTATTGTATCCTTGATCTCACTGATGACCAGAAAAGCCAGACTGGAAATATTGCAAAAGGAATGAAGACACATTTTGAACTCTCTATTAACATTATATCAAAAGTATGTGTTCAACATCAGAACTTTGCGAAGCTGGATCTGTGTTGTGACTGACACATCTAGTCGATATCTTTGATTTTAGACAACTGAATGAAGCTTTCATCAGAGATGAGACTATTTTAGGTAGAACAGATCCTGCCATGACAGCGCATCTGCTGAGAGAGGAAATACATGTGCAGAAACTCTGAGTTGCCAATCATCTGCTAGAGAAAGGATGCAGACTCCGATGGTTGTGGGACTGGCTGGAATTAACACATTGAATTATAAGTTTTTTTAACCACATGCACAGGATAACTTGTAACTGCAAATGATAATGCACACTTCTTTTTGTGATTTTGTTTGCGGTGAATGTGAATGTTCGGAGAAGTGCATCTATACCTTTGCATTATCTGGTTTGCCAGTTATATGACCTCTAATATAATTTGCTTTCATTTTTAATAACCATTAAAATACATTACATGAAACAAAGGACAAAATAAGCAACAATATTAAAGTGTAATTCATCCAAACTAATTTGGAAGTTTGAGAAGCTTACCTGAATACACGTCATGAGGAGGTCCAGGCGATCGACCCATTGTACCATCTACAGCATCTTGTGGTGATGCTGCAGGCTGCAATGGTTGAATAGTAAGACAGTCATTCAGCATTTCCTGGTCTGGCTCATTGCTGGATCTTAACTGTAGACAAAACGAAAAAAAATTGAATGAAGAATAAAGCATCAACTTTACATAAGAAGCATCAAAGTACGTTACTGAGTTAAAAAAAAAGAAACATGAGGTGGGGAAATGTTCACTGAAGAAAATGTTCTTGAAACGGATTGTTAACTGACAGACTGTCAAGTTTTTTTCAACAAATCGTTTGAAATACTGTATCTCAATGCAACGACTCGCAGTTCCATGTAGGCATTTAAGTGCAACATCAAGAATATACATCTCAGGATGCTACAAAGTGAAAAATATACATTTTAATTTGAACTACAGGCAGTCCTTGGATTGTGAACAGGTTTTGTGAGTCCGCTCTCAAGTCAATTTGCATGTCTGTTAGAAATCAATGCAGGACAGTATAAAACAGCCATTCATAAGCACAGGAAATGCCTGTATGTCGGATCTTTAAAATGACACAGCATGTATGGGATTGCGTTCTTAAGTACCATGATTCATAAATCAAATATTTGTAAGTCAAGGACCTCCTGTGTACTTTTGTCCTTATTTTTGACAGGCTGATATTTCTACGTAAAGTATATGTGAGATGGTAATTCTCAACTCTCTACACACAAAACCATGTCTTTCAGTGCAAGAATCAGATTAAATCTAACATGTGTATTGTGGTATTACCCTGATTGCCACTACGGCATCTCATGGCACCTGCCATCTCTGCCAATACCTGTTTCAGAGTAAGGATTGGTAATACCCGAAACATTCACTCCTCTTTTCCTCCAGATGCTGCCTGGCTTGCTTTGTTCTTCCAGTCTCCTGTTTGCCGACCCTGGCTTATCTGTACTTTGACTAATGATCAGTGGCAGAAGATAAACCACATGAGTGTCTTTACAGAAAAGGCACTGTTCTTAGTTAACGAGATAATTTATTGCACGATAGCGGTAAGTACAACTACATTGCCACTCAGGAATCATGAATTAGGACTTTTAGGAGCAGCATAGATCACATTTGCTCCCTGCAAAGACTAGTGTAGAACTTAGTTTCTGCACCCACAGACTGTGAGATGTCAGCAGAATAAGTGGAGCTAATGCAACTTTGACATTAACTCTTTCAGAACCATTACCTAATGCAACATGCAACTCCCCCAGTCAGCAGTAAAACTTTATTAGGTCCCTGAGAAACTTTTTTTTTCAAAACTGCCTTTTGTGGCACTGTATTGCTGAATTGTGTGGATTGTATGCAGAATGCATATTACCTTTTTACAGGTTATAGCCCATTATTTTCACATCACTTAGCGCTTTGCTGCTTTTGCGGCATTCCTAAAAAGATGGTTTCAAATATATAAAAGCAGCAAAAATTGTCAATGGTTAAATAAATTGCAGTTTGAATAAATAGTAGTTTTGAAATCTCTTCCAGATTAGTGGAATAGAAACTTGAATTAGTTTTATTTGTCCGAATCCAGAAACACAAATTGAAACTTTCGCACCAATTCAAAATTATCAGTCAAATTAAGTTGTAGTAATTTGTACAGGAAATGGAAATATCATTCCAGCACAACACACATTCTGTCGAAGAGTCACTGGACTCGAAACATTAACTCTGCTTTCTCCCCACAGATGTAGCCAGACCTGCTGAGTTTCTCCAGCAATTTCTGTTTTTGTGACAGGTTCGGAACCTGGCTTTGCGGACATGCAATTTAACTTGTCTGATTAGAAGAAATAAGCACAGGGAAGGAAGCAGTAGTGGGATTTACAAGCAATTTGGGGACAAAATAGGAAGAAATCAAGAGAACATTTTAAAATTAGCTTTCACTGATGTTTTATCTTGCAATTTCTAGAATTTAATAGTTTTTCCAGGAAATACTGTTTAAATTGAGGACACAAAAGGGAATAATTAAACACACAGTTTATGACACCAATGAGGATATCAAATAAGTTACAAGATTTTTAGTGAGAATGAGATCAGTCAATTAGTCATTCCATTGTTCAACATCATATGCACTATTTGTACAACAAATGATTTTATATGGCAGTTATATAGTACATTTGTAATGTAATGACATGATTTCAGATTTTTAGCCAGTTACTATATCCCCTCCTCTAGGTTTTCAGCAAAATTGGAAAACAGATATGAACATGAAAATATCTTGAGAAAGGATCATGTCTTTACTTTTTAACTGGGAGAACTTGAGGTTTGTGTGAAACTCACTAAAACCAATCTGTGTCTGTAATTAATTGCCTAAACATAAAGTTCTGCATGGGATAACATGACACAGTGACAAGCCTAAAGCACCCAATGCAAACATTTCATTGTACACATGTAGATTTATGTTTTTCTCTACCAAACTGAGCAGCCATTATTTTGACATCTCCCATTATATATCAGCAGTGAAATGTTACCAATAACGTAATAGTAATGCAAAAATTTAACGATAGAATATGTATGTTTGGCAATCATTTGCACATGCTTTTACTAAACTTTTCAATATCCTCCCACAAAATTACCACATTGCATTATTTGGCAGGGTACTTTCAGAAGCCGTTGGGGTTTGTGGCATTCCTAAAAAGATGGTTTCAAATATATAAAAGTAGCAACAATTGTCAATGGTTAAATAAATTGCAGTTTGAATAAACAGTAGTTTTGAAATCTATTCCAGATTAGTGGAATAGAAACTGAGGTGTATGGGTGTGGAATTTCGAGCTGCCAGTCAGATGTACCAATGGGGAGATTGTTAAGGTCATTATGGTGCTAATTAAGGCTGTTCATCAGGAGGTGACTGGAACTTCCCTGCTGCTCTGTGGGTCCTCCTCCTCCTGTGGTGTCAGGAGCATAGCAGCTGCCTTAGGGGGCCCCCACCTCCACCTCAACGACAGACTGGGGTTCATAGCTCCAGGAAAACACCAAAGTCCTTGCACCTCCGACCCCTTCGCCTACCTGGCCACAGCTGTTGATGCAGGACTCCCTCTCCCCCAGCACAACGATGTTTCAGCGGCTGTGACCAGTTGTAAAATTTTAAACTTTTAATTTGTTGAGAGGACACTACAAGATGGATGTGCCACATCACACCATCTCTCAGTCTCTCTCTCTCTCACCTGCAATGGCACAATCCTCCTAATACCAGCAATGTTTCTTTAAAGCAGAATGGAAACATGGGAAATGTATCTGATTTGACGGATGGGTGAACAAACCCATACTTAAATGTTAGCAATGCTTATTGAATCAAACAACTACAGTGGTGATCAACTGGCAGATTTATACTCAGGAAATTCAGATCCATTGAGATTAGGTTGTGATATTTTTGTATTTTAAATAGTCTTCATTTGTTTTTCTCACGAGATACTTGGCATTTCCATTTGAGCACAACCCCATTCATACTATGATGGCTGTGTTCTCTTACTGAATTTTCTTATGATCAGCTATAAACTTAAATCAATATCCTTCTGCAAACAAACAGTGAGTAGCTCTGACATCCTAAAGTATTTGAATTTGAGACGTTACAACATTTAAAATGGGCAGAGGTTTCTGATGCGCATTTCCCATGGGAGCTGTTCCCAATGCAGGCAGTGAGCAAGTTTTGTGTTGGTTTTTCAGGGAGAATTTTATGGAGACATGACTGTTGTGGGATATAGTAGGAAATGTGGCAGGATCATACAAGATATTCAATGAGGCTTATGTCAACATAGGGAATAACTCATTGCATCTCTTAACTAAGTTCTGGGTGTCAAGACAAGATTCTACCAAGTTGTCGATTAAGGGAGAATATTGCTTGTTAATGACTATTAGCTGGACTCCTTGCCTCATTAATATGTAGCTTCCTATCCTACCACCCACTGCAAGTAAACAAGTGAGTCTAATTGGCACGTAGGAAGATGGTTGTGGTTGTGGGAGGTTTGTCATCTCAGCTCCAGGACATCTCTGCAGGAGTTCCTCAGGGTAGTGTCCTAGGTCCAACCATCTTCAATGACCTTTCACTCATTCAGATATGGGGATGTCTGTTGATGATCGCACAATGTTCAACACCATCTAAGGGCATTGTGGGTCAAGCTACAGTTCATGGACTGCAGCAGTTCATGAAGGCAATTCACCACCACCTTCTCAAGAGCAACGAGGGAGGGGCAAGAAATGCTGGGCCCAGCCAGCGATAGTCAGGAACCTATTTGTGTGGTTTGGGGACTACAGACCAGGAATGCTAGGTTCCTCATTCCCCTCTCGTTATGCCTTCACATGTGGTGACGAATGGCTGGGTTAATGGAGTGCAGATGTATGTGCGTATCAAGCTGACCCTGGACGCGGTTCCGGCCACCAACCTGCCTGTGGACACAGCCAGGTGATCACACGCTGGGCCCAGCTTCGTCCCCAGCTTCGTCCCCGTAGTGTAGCTATGGTCCAGCAGCCTCTGGGCTAGGACAGCCATTCCCTTCTACACCCTTGCCTGTTATTCCTTTTCCTCCCTGTGCATGCAGACAAAGCCCTGATTGCTGGCACCACAGGGCCCTCCTCTGCCTGGGGCTGAGTAGGTGTCCGGTCTCTGGACAACCTCAAGAACAAATGCACTTGGTGTTCCCTCCATGGGCAGCTACAGAGCTATCACAGTGAGCTTGTGCTCCCAAACCATCTGAACATGATGTTCCCACTGAGGCCTTGGTATCTGAGCTGGTGAGCAGCCTGAATGGACCAACCTTTCTGATGCTTCCTCTGAGGCCCTAAACTCTCTTCCTCTGAGGTCGGACAAATGGTTTCTGTACAGGGGCCACAGCCATCCCGCTAGTACCTGCAAGGCACAAGCTATATCCTACCGCCCATTCCATTAGCTTCGCAGGCAACTCAACTCGCTGGAGCATCAGCTTTATTTAGTTCCCAGGTCTCTGCAGTAAGGTTTGAATTTACAATCTTTTCATGACCAGGTGAGAGTTCTTCAATTTCATCAAAATACTACACGAAAGGAGACCCACTGCTTAGGCCTCAAACAGAGGTTGAATGCACACATCAAAACGGGCAAATGTCTTATAGATGTTTCTTTT